GGGCACCCAAACACTGGGGCACCCAAACACTGGGGCACCCCGACACCAGGGCACCCAAACACTGGGGCACCCCGACACCGGGACACCCAAACGCTGGGGCACCCAAACATTGGGACACCCAAACACTGGGACACCCTGACACTGGGGCACCCAAACACTGGGACACCCAAACGCTGGGGCACCCTGACACCGGGACACCCAAACACCGGGGCACCCAAACGCTGGGGCACCCAAACACCGGGACACCCCGACACCGGGACACCCGGACACTGGGGCACCCAAACGCTGGGACACCCTGACACTGGGACAGCCAAACGCCGGGGCACCCAAACGCCGGGACACCCCGACACTGGGACAGCCAAACACCGGGACACCCAAACACTGGAGCACCCAAATGCTGGGGCACCCAAACGCTGGGGCACCCAAACACCGGGACACCCAAACGCTGGGGCAGCCAAACGCCGGGGCACCCAAACGCCGGGACACCCAAACGCTGGGACACCCGGACACCGGGACACCCGGACACTGGGGCACCCAAACGCTGGGACACCCCGACACCGGTACACCCAAACGCTGGGGCACCCAAACACCGGGGCACCCAAACACTGGGGCACCCCGACACCGGGACACCCCAACACCGGGACACCCAAATGCTGGGGCACCCAAACGCTGGGGCACCCAAACACCGGGACACCCAAACGCTGGGGCACCCAAACACCGGGACACCCAAACACTGGAGCACCCAAATGCTGGGGCACCCAAACGCTGGGGCACCCCGACACCGGGACACCCAAACACTGGGACACCCCGACACTGGGACATCCAAACACTGGCACACCCTGACACTGGGACACTCAAACACCAGGACACCCGAACACCGGGACACCCAAACACCGGGACACCCAAACGCTGGGACACCCCAACTCTGGGGCACCCAAACGCTGGGACACCCCGACACCAGGGCACCCAAACACTGGGGCACCCAAACAGTGGGGCACCCAAACACTGGGGCACCCAAACGCTGGGGCACCCAAACACTGGGGCACCCCAACACTGGGACACCCCGGCACCGGGACACCCCAACACTGGGACAGCCAAACACTGGGACACCCCAACACTGG